TGTGGGATTTCCAAAAGTTTCACCACCGCTCTTTTCCTCGACGAGTCGTGGTTTGTGGTCCCTTCTTTCCTCTAGGAGGAAGATCCGCCTGACCTGTTGCAATGTGAGAACTCGCGCTCGCTCGGTAGCGGCGGTCTCTGATCCAAGTCCTCCAATGCTGCGAAGCGGCTGTGGCTGCCCTCTCTGAGGTGAGATGGCGTGGACACGACGAGGTGTCGGTGAGTAACTACCAGTTCATCTGGTCAGGGCACTCAGATGGGCTGAGTGTAACCACCGCTCCGCATCCCAGGGTCCATGGTACACTGCTCTCCTGTAGGCTCATCAATGATCGCCTTAATCGCATGTTTGTCTCGCTGCGCAACGATGAAACTTTTTACTGATTGCGGTGTCCGGTCTGCTAACGTCCAGGACAGCGAAAACGTTGACTTGCAGCAGGTATTAGACGCCACCCCATGTCTCGATCTCCCGATCGTCTCTGACGATTTGAAAATTCAGATCGATAACAATCACGACTCTTTATCTGTTTGACCCGCGAGGAGTTCGAAATACTAACTCCTGTGATGAGGATTTTACGCTTTAAACTCTCTTGTGGTGGTCAACTCCCTGCCCCCTGACGAGAACATCCATCGGTTGTCTTACTAGCCCACCCAGTGGTGCGAGAGCCATCCGCCTAGCACATGTGGGAATTCTCCATTATGTATAGAAGAGTATGCAGAGAGGGCAGACATACAGTGACCACTGTATGGTCATATGTCGCATCAGACTCGGCTTCCCTTCGGACAGGAGCGGGAGAGACCCACCTTCCCCTGACCTGTCGCGCTTATCTGAGGGCAGGCGCTACTACTGGCCAGCCACTGGCAAGCCGCTTTGCTTCAATCATCATTGAAAGGATCAATGATGATTCTGAGCCACTCTGGTCCTCTTTCAAGTCTGTAGTTAAGAAGTCAGCACTGGAAACCTGTGACCAGACACCAGGATGCCAGAGGTGTCCTAGTTGCAAGGAACCAAACTTTGTTAGCCTTACGTAAGGCATGTAGAGTGCATTGGCATTATTACAGCGGAAGTAGATGTTAGTCAAAGACGAAGGAGGAAGGAGGGAAGGAGGGATTTGTTTAGCCAAATATAGTGCTAACAACCCAAGTCATTTTTAGGTCATGAGGGTATAGACATCCTCCCAACTCCTGGTCTACAACTGGAAAGATGGGACAACATATTAATATTAGCGTACTGCCTAATCTGACCTCAAGGCCGAACAGGGTTGTCTTTGAGGGGTTCCCAACAGGTCCAGCAGAGCGAGAATACTCCGCCAACTACGGATGAGGTTCAGAATGTTCAGAATCTGAAGGAATGTTGTGCTGCATGTGTCTGCAGTATTCCTCCTTTAGTATGGCTCTGACTCACCGAGACCTGACCAACCCGGCACTTACTCCAGTTGTGGCAGGTTGTGGGAGTCAGAGACTCCCACACAGAGGAGAGTCACCGTGACCACTCTTTCCAAGAAAGAGGGAACTGCCCGCAAAAAGTTCCAGCTGGAAATATTACTGGTTTTACACGCTTCATGATGAACTTTTCCAGCAGGTGGATTGCTGTGCAGGAAACGTCACAATTAGAAAGTAGGCACTTTCCAACTAGAAAAGCAGAGATTTGTCAGAATACAGCATGAAATTCCAGCTGAATCCTGGTAGTTCATTCCAGCTGGAAACAGAATACCAGTTTGCAGTCTGCTTGGAAATATTGCAATTCCTGTTGGATGTGATTCACATTTACAGATGGAGAGCTTGCTATTTCAAGCTCCCCTTAAAGCTTAAAGCTCCCCTTTATGGAGTGAAGATTCGACCAGTCTCCCGACAGTGGCGGAGAGGATGGATGTCTTCCAGAGACGTTGCTTACGTCGTTTCTGGAGGATTTGCGAAATAGATCATGTCAGTAACACAAAGTTGTGACGATGATTGGAGGCATCGTGCAACTTAAATCCTTGAAAAGGGAATAGGACTTCGATGAGCGGGTCATATGTAGTGCATGAGTAAAAAAAAAAAATGCCGTCCAGGCGGATTCTATTGGCCCAACCAGAGGGGTAAGACCTCGAACCCACTGGTGAGACTAGTCAAATGCAACCTGTCTGCACTTGCTCGCTCTGCGCACCAGGCACATGACAGTAGTATTTGGAGGCGACAGGTGGTTTTGGTTCAATAAGGTTCCACTTAAATCTAAATAACGTATGCATTCATTTTTGTTGTACGTGGGCTGGTCAAAGAGTTCCCGGAAAAAGTGACTTCATTTTGTCAGATCCCCATGATTTTTTCAGTGTTTTCTTATGTATCTTAGTAGCTCTTCCCTTTAATTTCAGATCCCTGCGATAAAATGGAGACTCGCAAGCGCGCGCGAAGTGAAAAGAGTCAGAGAGTCTTGCTACCCTTGACGAGCCGTGACAAACGCGGGGCAATTTTGGTGCAGTTTCGGTTGGGAAATTCGGCGGCACAGCGTTTCGAAATCCTTCAAAAGGCACTTGCGGACCAAGCTTCATCCCAGAGCACTGTCTACGAGTGGTTTGCGCGCTTTCGATCTGGCTCCTTCAGCCTCGACGACGATCCCCGTGAAGGTGGTCCAAATTTCACTGTCACTCAAGAGAACATTGTCTAGGAGTCGCTTCATGCTGGCAAAGACCGGCGGATCACCACCAGGGAACTAGAGAAGCTCGTTGGGGGACACCCCAACGAGCTTCTCTAGTTCCCTGGTTCCCCTAGCTCCCATGGCTCGGTCATCAAGATCCAGCACGAAAACCTTGGGATGAGGAAGGTCTGTGCTCGTTGGGTTCCGCACCAGCTGAAACCGGATCACATGAAAGCTCGTGTGGTCTTCTGTGAATTCATGCTTCAGAAATTCGACGATGAAGCCTGTGAAGCTGTGAGAAACATCCTCACAGATGATGAAACCTGGATCTACTTCTACTTCCCATTGCGTCCTCTGGTTCTTCGTCTCTGGGCCGAAACTGCACCAAAATTGCCAAGCGTTTGTCACGGCTCGTCAAGGGTAGGCCTCTGACTCGTTTCACTTCGCGCGCGCTTGCGAGTCTCCATTTAATCGCAGAGATCTGAAATTAAAGGGAAGAGCTACATAAGAATACACAGTGAAAAAATCATGGGGATCTGACAAAATGAAGTCACTTTTTCCGGGAACTCTTTGACCAGCCCACGTACATATGCGTCTCTCAAGCGTCTTGTTCTAGGGGGTGCATGGCAAAATTTTTCCATTTTTGGTTTTCATATGATTTTTCAATCATTATTTTCAGATGAATAATTGTCAAAATAAGTCAGCCATCAATATGGATTGTGGAGAAAGCTAAAGTACATGCGAAATCCTTCAGAGTTCAGTAACAGTTCTTGAGCCATATGAAAACTGGGATTCATTTTATGGCGCCATTAAGTTTCTGTAAGGTATCTCATTCAGCTGATGTAGATGATTGCCCCAACATTGGGTCACCCTTGTCATGGGTCTCACCTGTGAATCACTTGCCTGAAATATCAAGGTCCCTGGATCATGTCTCATTCGCCAACTTATGCAAAAAAAATTTGAAGAGACCGATTTTTTCATGATTTCATGAATCCCTAATTACTTTAAGTGTGTCAAAGAGACCATTCAAAACAAGACATGAAGTGAAAATCAAAAAGCAATCAATTTTACCCATCTACCCAGAAGACTTAAGACAAATATTTGAGAAGTGTCATCTTCCATAAAAGGGCAGTGGAGTTACAGAAACAATCCAATAACTTTTTGATCATGAGTGCTACAATTAACTAGAGTCCCTACAGCCACAATGAGACACTAAGATTAGCCCACACTAAGCCTATACATTACTGATCGATATCAGCCATAAGCTCCCATCGTCAGGGTACACAGGCAAATTAATGAACTAAAATTTTGAGTAGCATACACATTATGTCTCAAGACCTCCTTGATATTTTGAGGATCACTCAAAGGGAACAAAGCCAGTGATGAGCTGGTATGGCCCAAAAGCACAGGGGAACACTTCTTGTCCTTCCAAAAGCATAAAATAAAATTGCAGCCAAAGGGATCATTCACAAAGGTGCATCTTTTTGGTATACAGCTTCAGATCATGATACAATTTTTTATAGCATCAGAAATAAATTTTTGATCAACTCAACCGTGCTTAAAGATATGAAATTAAGAAGTCCCTGCCTTGTGGACTTTAATAAAATTTGGCAGAAAGTAGAAAAAAGGAAACTGACTGCCTCTGGCAACCACTTTTACAATGACTAGTTCAAATTTCATATCACACAGAAATTCTTCTCAATCAAGTACCTACCAAAGGAAAATCACTCCAGCTATCAACTTCCAGTCTCTGTAAATTTCAATCCTGGTCCAGTCAGTAACCCAAAATATTCAGCATGATAGGGACAAAATAAATATGCTAAACAAATAAAATAAACAAATGAGACATTCTTGAAAATTCGCAAGTTCTTCTCATTCCCATCACCATTGCCAGAGTAAACAAATATCCTATTGGGGTTGGTGTCTCAAGGTCTAAAGTGTTAGATACCTAAAATACCTCCCACGCATTGTAAATTTTAGTGATATCATAACCATGAACTACACCATGAAGTGAGCCAGCATGCAAACTTTTATCACAATAAAAAATTGTACCTTCCACAGACCTACTCAAGATTTCACCCCACATATTTGTACACAAGCTCTTAAATTTAACTACAACCCCAAGGACCTGACACCAGCACTTCTACAGACAGTTTTTGCAATTTAACTCACTATCTGAATGTTCCCTGCAAATGGGGATGTTGCTAACAAGTGGCCCTTCACTCCAAGCACCAAGATCAGTTGGCTCACGAATAGAATTGCTGCAGGAAAAAAACACCTGATCCTTACCAAAATATTGCTTGGAGAAGAAAGTGCTGTGGTCTTCCATGAATTGAAGCTGAATGCTTTCTTAGTTATTTCTTTCTTAATTCTTAATGATCAGCAATAGCAACCTGTCTGCCAGTTTAGATACTTAAGAAAATTGATTTAATTGCAAATAGCAAAAGGGCACACACTAATAATAATTCTCAGGGGAGACAAACTGCAAGACATTATCCATAAACACTAGGAAGGAGGAACTGCTGGCTTTCTTGCACTGACCCACTCTATTCTTTCCTCATAAAATCTGATCACAAGTTCTGGGAACTTCTCATTTGCCACTGCTGCAGGCATAATTTCTGCATCATCTTTGTCCTTCCTGGAAAAAAAAAAGAACACAATACAGAAGGGGTATAGATACCACTCCATAAAACGAAAAAAGAAAGCACATCAGATGTTCCATCCATCATCTAGTTCAGCATTTTTGAAAAGAGTTGGGTTTAACTAATCCATTCTGATCAGCCTGCAGCTGATTTTCTACCAAATTGCCTGGTTTGATCTGATGCAAATTCATCAAGAACCATGGATCAGTTAAATCCAAGCAACCATTCCATTTTTACTTTTCACATTTACAAACTTTTCTTCTCTACATGGTTGCATCATATCAAGCCATTAACATCCTGACAGACCATATGTACAAGACAAATTCAAGTCTGTGATGGACAGTCCATAATCCCATCATATGCAGACAAGAAAAACACATTAAGAAAGAGCCTAGGCCTAACCTTCCTTAACAAAAGTAAGAACTTCCATAATCTTGATCTCAATCAGATGAGTAAGGCAGGGCCAGTGAAAAGCTTCAGTCAGGCAACAAAAAAAAAAAAAAGCCACCAGCAATATAATTAAACCACCAGCTAGCGTTAGCCCCCATGAAAAGAGGTGGCAATTGATGTAATAGATCCTGCAAAGCATAATTCCATCTGTCCATGCTTTGAATGCAATTACAATGACCTTATCTGAGCAGGATTCCTCATCAACACTTCAACTGCAAGGATATCCTGCAGGTCTAACAAAAACCTGCAGGATTACATGAACATTTTGTATAATAGACTAAATAGGGAAAATCAACCACACCACATGTTCCTGTGGACTGGAATAAAAGCATAAAATAAAAAAATTACAAATGAATCAAGTGATGCACAAAAAGTCAAGGATACCTCCAAAGTTCAAATGCTTCACTATCCATAATGGAATTGTATTAACCCATTACAGTCCAGATTATTTTCATCACATGATTCCCAAATGAGAATTGGCTTTTGCCAAAAATTCTCCTCTTTACTTAATACAAGCAAACATCATCTCACTTCCTACTCAATCCTGTAACATTTGTATGATTCCCCAGAAATTTAATACAAGCATAAAAATGGAATTAATTATGAACGTGCATTTATGTCTGTCAACCACATATTTACATACAGGGTTTCCCATAAATAGGTACCCATTTTTATTTCTTGAATACAACAAGCATACACTAATTTCAAATTGAAACTTATATGGAACAGTTGGAGTAATCTTTGAAGTTTTTTTTTAACATGTTAATACTAATACTAAATTAGTATTTTTAATACTAAACATGTCCACCAAGGAGGTGGACATGTTTAGTATTAAAACGTCCAGACTTTCTAGACTTTCAATTGAAAGTTTCCAGACTTTCAATAAAAGTCTGGAAACAATGAACAAAATTATCCATAACTTTTGCCCAGGTGACATGAGATATGCCCTGAACAACATTAGTGATGCAATCTCGTAGCTCTTCCAAGGACTCCAGGCATGTGACATAAACTCTGTTCTTGATTAAAAAAACATGAACTGAAAGAGAAGCATGACATGTTTAGTATCAAATAAAACTTCAAAGATTACTCTGTTTCATATAAGTTTCAACTGGAAAGTTGTGTATGCTTGTTATGCTCAAGAAATAAAAATGGGTACTTGTTTACAGGACACCCTGTATTATATTCATGAATAAAAAATATATGTAAAATCAATTTACGCCCTACAACTGGCAAATGTTTCTGACTATTTAAGAAGATAATTATTGCACAAATAAAATTTTAGAATTCTGTGCAAATAAAGAATTTTCAAGATCCTCATTTGGAGATAATGGGACTTAATGGTTGAACACTCTTTCTGAATATTATTTCTGATGGTTACTCACGATCTGAGCATAATTTTTTTTTATTGTTCCAGGTTACTAGGAAGGTATGGAGCAGCAAGTGCTACATACAGGGTGCGCGAGTAGAATTGGCGCTAGTTTAAACAGGTAAAATCCAGATAATACAAGATTTTCTTGACCCATGTTATTGATTCAAGATTCTCAGTTATCAGTAAGACTTCAAAGAATGCAGACCCCAAACAGATTGGATGATTATGAGTGGCAGTTCTCGCTTCCGAGGTCGTCTGGAGGCTGTGATTGATGCTGAAGGTGGCTTTATTGAATAAGTTCCATCTATAAAGCACTACCTTGCTCTTGTTTCTGGAATTTTCAATAAATGTTTAAAATTAGACATTTTAGAGATGTTTTTCCTTAATGTATTTTCCACGCCAATTCTACTCACCCTGTATATACCCAGCAAAGATAGGAAACAGAAAGAACAAGCATAAGCATGGAGTTCTCACAGGATCAAATTATAAAAGAAATTGGGATGAAGGCAGGAGCAAAGCAAGGAAGTTAGGGAAGGGATTGGAAGGGACATTAATTTTTATTTCATGTCCCTCTTGATATTGTATATAGCATACAGAACAACACATTGTATTCTTTTCACAATTACAGGTGACATAGAGGTTTTCCTCCTGGAACTTGTATGGCTAAACTCTCAAACTACAGATTTTCCATCACATAAGAAAAAGCACCCACACCTTTCCTTTGTTACATTCAAAATTGAAGCTGCTTCAACCAGGTGACATTAATAACTGCAAATGTTGAGCATTTTATTAAGATTAGATAACAAATTATCCAACAGTAGGAACATTTCTCTGGTTGCAGACCACTGTGATAGAAAATTTAATAATGAAAGAGATCTTAGCTTTAGACTTTTAGAGGATAGCATGCAGCTGAGTCAAAAATGAAAGGAATCCTCACCACTTGATCACAAAACAAAGCTGCCCATTTGTTTGTGCTGCTCCTACAATCTGTTCAGGAACCAAACCTTCTTCAATCCCTTTTTCATCTTTCTTCTCAGCTTCTTCCATACCTGGAATCTAAGGAAGAAATGAACCAAATAAGGGCACACGAACTGAAATAGGAGTCTTCCACCTATTTTTATTATTATTTAGGTATCCCAGCCACTTCCTATCAATGCTCAGGTCTCCAGGAGCACGCTCATACTTTCATTTATGAGGGGTGTTCAAAAAGTAATGCCTGTTTGGGTATCACTTATTTATTTCAAATCTTTAAAAAGTATGTCACACATTGATAGAGGTGACATAAAGGAGCAATTGTCAACTTTTCCATGTAATCTGTATTTGCAGCTACACATTTGTGTCATACAATTAATTTTCTCGTTATGCATTGAATGGGAAATTGAAATGGAAAAATACCTCCTGAGCAGTATGTAGTAGACTGATCGAAAAGGAATGGAACTTTTGCTGCAGCCAAATAATACTCGTCAAAATTGTTGACCACTCTGCAGGCGTCAGACATGTTCACTTTGCAACTCATGGTGAAAATGTCAGTGGTGTTTCGTTTAAGGATAAAAATAAATTGCCATGGTCAGTAAGTTACTGACCATGGTAGTATTCTTTTAGCACCAACAGAGTTCCTTAAATGAAAGACCACTGACATTTTTACCACAAGTTACAAAGTGAACATAGCTGATGTCTGCAGAGTGGCCAACAATTTCGACTTGTGTTATTTGAGCTGCAGCAAAAGTTCTGTTCCTTTTTGATGAATTTGATAATTAAGAGGATGAGCCATACATTTAGAAGAAAAAAAGCAAGGTTCCCGATTTGAACACTCGTAGAAGGGAACAAATGTGGATTTATGGGTTAAGGTCCTCTACACCAATATTCACACTAGTCACTTCAGCAAAAATAATGCAATGGGTTTTGGAGGTGATTTTAAAAAACCTTTAACACGTTGACAACCAGCCTATTTTTGCTTGTCCGCCGCGTGGGACTATGCACATTTTTTTTTGTCAAAAAATGCATCCTGCCATCAGGACGCATGGTCCCAGAAAACATTTTTTGGAATTTTTATCAGCAATTATGAAATCATAATCTTCTGGAACGTTCTCAACAGTTCCAGAGGGTATTCATTGAAAAAAAAATCTGCATCCTGGCATCAGNATCATAATCTTCTGGAACGTTCTCTACAGTTCCAGAGGGTATTCATTGAAAAAAAAATCTGCATCCTGGCATCAGGACGCATTGTCGCCAACGTGTTAAGCATGAAACTCTTTCTAGAAGAGTCCTGAAAGCAATGTCAGGAGGCAAAAGTAGTTCTGGTCCCATGATGGTTCCAGTGAACAATTTAAAACTCCATGGGGCTATTTTTCTTTAGAAAGTCATAGCTTAAAAAATATAAAATTAAAATAAAAACACATTAATAAGGCTGTCATATATAAAAACCTACAGAGAGATGGGGAAATAAGGGATCAGTGGAGTCTCCTTGGATAATCAACCTTGGCAATCAAAACCATATCATCCTCCCATGTGGTTTAATTAGCCATTCTTTGGGCCTGGTGACATGAATACTGCCTTATTGACCTTGCAGGCTTCAAACTGAAAATCTGGTAGAGGCAGCATTACATCATGAAATACATCACTAAGCACAACATCAAGTACTTTAGTCCACCAATAATATTGTCCATCCAACAGGGTGGCATTTTGTGGTTTCTTTTGAGAGTGTAGTGATTTAAGTTGATAAACAGCAGTCAGATGTCACAATAGGAAAAAGGTAGTAGGGTAGAACTACCTTAGGTCTGTGATAGATATCCTGCACAAGTTCAGCACTCCCGTCAAATTCTCTTCAGCTGTTCTCAGGAAATGTTACAATACTAAGTACCATGATGATCAATGATCTCTAAACACATTTTGAACTTCATGTCTCACTTCTCAGACTTCTTTCTGGGCTTGAGACAAGCTGCTTCCCAGGAAGCTTTACTGGAATGGACTATTCATTCTGGACAATTTAACGAAATAAAATTAGTCCACACATTGCTAAAAATCAAAATCCTGAAGAATATTTGTAGGGATTCACCATAGGATAGGTTAGGTTATGTCATATGTCATATTTCCAGGACTCTTGAAAGGCCTCTAAACTTTTTTTTGCTGCCTATTCAACAGCTAGGTCTTCCAAGAGGGACAAAATTCAGCATAAATCCTTTTCACATAAGACACTCAGTTACTTCTGCACCCTGTCTACACCCAGCTGTAAGCTTTGCCATGATCAAAATTATAGCAAATTTACTACCTATTTGGTTTCATATTGCCTTATGATAACCAAATGTCTTATGCTAATAAGAGGAAGGGAAATTACAACACAAAGTAATATGCTATTAGAGAATTTTGGTCTTGATATCAAACTATTCCCTAATTCTCTTTCCTCAATATGGAACTTATGGTATCAGAATGTACATTTTAAAAAGAGATGAACCTAATTCTAATTGGGCCTACATCTATTACCTATAAATCAGGGGGGCACAACATACAGCCAGTGGGTTGCATGCAGCCTACTAGGACCTTGCTTGCAGCCCACAGTGACTGGTGGTATTGTAAGTGCTACCATGGCTCCCATCCTGTTGGCTACAGCTATGGTCAGCCAGACTGCAGACCACAGTGAGTAAAAATCAGAAATGGCCCTCACAGTATTTTGAGCTATGCACCCCAGCTACCACTGCATCAAAATTAGGCTATAGCATGGCTTTAATAGTTATTTTGTATGACATAATACTTCACTGAAGTTCATAAAGTATATTAATGACCTAAGAATTGGCACGAAATTATAATCCACGTCATTATGAAAACTGAAATCAATTTTAACAGAGCTTTGCAAAAAAAAGTAACTACTTTCACTAAAGTAAAATCCCTTGAGCAAGTTACATTGTGTCAATGACTACCGCACAACTCTCCAAGATCCACTCTGCATGCTGCCAGAACATGCCAGGCGAGGTAGGCATCGCAGATTAAAATTGAGCGCGTACTTCCAAGGGATATTGCAGCGCTGATAAGACCCCAACTGGAATATTGCATCCAGTTTTGGAGGCCTACAAATAAGGGCGATCTGTTGGCACTCGAGGGAGTACAGAGGAAGACCACAAGAATGATTAAGGAGGTTAGGGAACCATCATACGAGACGCGTTTAGAAGTGTTGAGACTACTCGCTCGAACGAAGGTTAACACGTTGGCGACAATGCGCCCTGATGCCAGGATGCAGATTTGTTTTCAATGAATACCCTCTGGAAATGTTGAGAACGTTCCAGAAGATTATGATTTCGTAATTACTGATAAAAATTCTAAAAAATTCAACATTTAAAAAAAACTCGGCAAAAAAAACGTTTTCTGGGACCATGCGTCCTGATGGCAGGACGATGACGGTAGGTACTAGACAGTAAGCAACTAGGATAGTCAAAAAATATATATATATTTATTTATCTTTAAGAAGGTTAGGCCAAGCCTAAAATTAAGGAACGCTCGACCTCGACACGTGATATCGAAATGGGCGAAACCGCCTCTTGATGTCACTAACTATCTATCTAACTATCGACTCTTGATCTTGATCTTGGATATTGAATCCCCTCTAAATTTAGGACAGGTTACGTTAGGTTGATGATTATTATAAATAAAAAGAATCACAATGGATGCAGCATTTTTCCAGTTGAATTTTTCTGGACCCATTGGAGGGTGGGGGATTACAATTTCTCTCGAGGGTACGCGCTTAAACGTCACCGGCACCGGGTTGTCATCGTAGAGGCCCTCATCCACTGTCAGTCAGATGAGCCCATATTAGGCCTATGAAATTGATTTGTAATTAAAAGCCATCTGGAAGGTGGCCGCTAAGCCATGTCGCTGTGAGGTTTTCCGTCTAGCGTGAACTTATTTGGCACAGCCAAACTTAAGAATCTTTTATCATGGCCGTAGTTCATACAGAGGCGAGAACGCCCCTGTGCGCGTCGCCATCGGGATCGCAGGGATGCCTAATGTAAACAGCGGGATCGAAGCTCGATAGATGAAAGTTTCAAAATCGGCACTGAAAGTTTGTTAACACCATGCATTTGGAGTATTTTATCACCCGAGAGTACGAGCATTACTTCTGATCAGAACACGGCAGAGGAGCTTCCCCTCATTGGTTCAATTTTAATGCCGTGCATCCCACCTTACTGTTCGTACCTGGGGAAGGGAATGAAACTCGCCACAAAATTTCGAGCTTCGAGCGACATAGCTTCACCATACAGCCTCTCCACTTCGCACGCGGCCAACCGTCTTGGTGGTCATTTTGCACTGGGGAACCCCGCGATAGTTCTTCGCACGGAGACCATTCGCAATTTCGACAGGGACAATTCAGATGCTAATGGAATTCGCCCCAATTTTCGCTCATGAACTGCTTTTGCATTTTGTGCAGTTCTTGTTCCACTCTGGGCAGTTCCAAAGAGTTAGTTTTAGGTCAGGTCAGGTTAGTTGTACGAAATACAACTTCCAACTTTTCTTATCTCTAATCAGCGAATAACACAGTTAGAAATTAGTACTAATCAAAATAAAAATCAGAAAAACGAAGATCATGCAGGAAAGGACCAATGAAAAATTAGTCTAAAAATTATATGCGGCAGCACAGAGGGGAAGAAATTTTTCTAAGCAAAATAGCGTTTGCTCTAAATTGGATATTTTCCCCCAAATTTTTTTTTTCATACGGGAGTTTCCGAGTCGAACCGAACCAAACCAAAATTTTTTTCGAAGCCTTCAAATTTGAATAAGAATGTTATATTCTTGTTGAGAAAAGGACGCTACAAATAATTAATGAGCAATTGAGTTCGGTTTCAGGGTTGAAATCACAAAGTTTTAAGGGGAAACTGCTTCTCGCCATGGAGCATGAGCGCAATGAGCTCGTTTATCGCCTGGATTTTTTTTCGGGGTGAAATCGTCTTGAGAAAATCGATAAAATGTCACCGATTTCGTCTCATCCCCCCCCCCCCCCCAAAAAAAAAAAATGTTGGTAAGTCACTTCTGGAATTCCGCTTTTTTTTTCATTGCCGAAGGAAAGAGAGGGTTGATGTGACTCCTCGCATTCTGTCTCCTTCCTCCACATTTTTTTTTAAATCTAAATCCCGAGGAACTGCGAATTCATTTTCCGGTAATTTGTCCTTCGAATAAAAAAAATGGGAGGCCTCCTCGCCTTCGTCCTTCTTTCTCCCAACCGTGAAAGCGACGAGAGGGTGACTGCTCGCCTTTTGCACTTCCAGGGAGTGCAGATTTTCCCACGAAATTGCAATTAAATTGCAACGGGTTACAATCAAGTTGGATCGGTTCTGTATGACCTGGATGAACTTTTTGTTAGCCCCCATATTAAATATTGATGCTTGTAGGTCCACGTTACCGAAAGAAGGCGCCAAATTAGCGGTAGATTAGGACTAAGACTAAGACTAAAACTAAAACTAAGACTAAAGCTAGGACTAAAACTAAGACTAAGACTAAGACTAAAACTAAGACTAAGAATAATGTTCAATTCAATGAAATTTCAAGACAGGATTGACATTCAGGGACTTCAAGTTTAGCAGCTTTTCTCATATTTTGAGTCTAGGGTTTGTGTTGAGATCCCTCTAACTTCCGTAGATGCCTCCCACGTGCCCTGATTTCCTACCTCAGGTATATTCTATCAGTTTTATTAACTTGATTTTTTTTTGCAGAATAATGATTTTCGTACCGCAAATCAGAAAAATTGCCACTGAGGAAATTGATCCAATTGAGATTCTAATTGTTATTAATTCCGTTATAATATTATTAACGATGTCTGATCGGCATGTCTGGGTTGGAAATCTGGACACATGGTTCAGCTTTCTTAACTTCGCACACATCTGCCGCCGAGATAGCTCAGTTGGGAGAGCGTTAGACTGAAGATCTAAAGGTCCCTGGTTCGATCCCGGGTCTCGGCGCTTTTTTTTTTCCTCTTTTTTTTCTCCCGCTCTCTTTCGAGCTCTCGCTCTCACCCCTTTCTCTTTCACAGCCTCTTCCTTTTTCTACCCTGCATATGAAGGGGGAAAATATTGGGAGTTTTCTGCCCTCTGACGCTCTCACTCATGCGGCCATTTTCCCTCTGCTCTCAATCTCCATCTAACTAAAACCTGAACACATCCATCAACACCAACTCTAGGAACCCTTTACTAATCGATCGTCTCCTCCATCGCCAGGTCGCCTGATGAGGCCCCTCCGGCCAATTGGCACCGAAAAACATATTTGCTCTTTCCCTAAATAACTTCTGATAGGCTGTAAATAAGATATACTAGTGCAAAAGCCCGTGCTCGCACGCGCTGAAATAAATCGAATTAGAGCGTTTCGTGAATGTCTCACAAAGGGGGCATCAAGTCCTTTGAGAGAGGTCGAAGAATCGACAGCAACACTTCAGCTTCAGGGCATGAAGCCCTTATGCTGGGGGTGGGTGTGCCGGTGTGAGGCGCGACCTCGATTTGAGGTTGGGACTAGATCACTTAGCTCAGTGGGTTAGACCTGTTCACCTGGAGATGAGCCCCTATAGCTCCGAGTGATTCTAGGGCTACAGGAAATCAGATACGGCTCAGAGGTAGCTCAAGCGACATCTCTACTATGGAGGAATAACCACTGTTTAAAGACTTGATACAAGGTGTCGCAGATGAACGGACTTTCTCTCTCCTCGTCCATCGAGGGAAGATTGGGGCCTAACGGGGCAGTTCAGGGAAAACGCCAAATTTTAGCACCAAGGAGTTTGCCTAGCCCGTTGCGGATCGTACGCGGTACCTTTCATCTTACCTACGGCAAGGATTCAACTTCATCGCGAAATCAACGACGGTTTTTTTTCTCCCCTGACAATTCTGAAAATTGTCAAATCCCTGTGGGCTAAAACGGGGTATTCCTCCAAATATTGTTTTACAAAGTTTTTATTCATGTTATATACCTATTTAAATAGGTTACAGAGCAGAAACATTAATGAAATATCTAAAAAATAGTAAACTAATGGTT